AGATAGAAAGTATTGGTCTAGAGGGCAAAATGATAAAATCTATATAATAGTGCATTTGAAGAGATAAAATAAGTAATGCAAATTTTCCAAGGACTTAATGCGGCCTTGTTATTTAGGAAGAAAAGAAAAGTTAAAATCTGTTCGTTTTAATAAAAATCAACCCCTGGAACACAAAACTTCCTGTAGCCTCAGAAACATCCACCAGCTGTCAGAAGTACACTTTTCACGACATTATGATAATGTTAATGAAAGTCAGTCCATTCTGCTTGAATCCTGTGACAACTGCCACACTGCACAGTCTCTCAGTCATTTCTTTTCAGCCTGAAGTGCAGCGATTGTAGGTTTATTCAACCTGCCTGGCCGCGTATGTCCCCCAGGGCAAAACCCACGCAAGTGCAGCCTCCCCTGCTGGCTCCATTTCCACATTTGCCTAAGCTGTGAGCACCACAGAGTCACCACATGTTCTCCTATGTGAGCGAACTTATTAATTATTAAATCAACAATCCCGTAGGAAACAGATGGCACATATAGCGGGCAGCTAACGCACGTCTGCCTGGCATTTTGTGTGTGTGATACTGTAGGTAAGTGGGTGGTTTTAGACTACCTAGGATCTGTCACATGTTTTAGCGGTACCTTGTGCCAGTTGGCTCAAATGCTGAATTGTGTGTATCGCATAAATATCACTATAGAGGATAATTGCAGTTGTTTTTTAATTGCTTTTAAATCCAAAAAAAGTGTGCTTTTTGTTTGTTCTTTCTGCTACACTGTGTTTACAATAACAGGAGCTGAAGTGCTAAAAAGCCATCATCACCCCACGTTTAACTAGCGTTTGTTATCAATAAACACTACTGTGTTTATTTTAATGCAACCTCAATTTGGATCAAGAGACTTAAATGAATACATCATGCTGTGCTACTATAATGAATGGTGTTGCTAAAAACAAACTTTAACACAAACAAGCCTCATCTATTAAAACTCTGCATCACAGAGAACCTGTCAAGCCAGATTCATTCAGATTGTTTTCTCAAAATGTAACTTTCAGCTACAGTATTTGCATTGGGCAGAAAATTTATTTAAAGGGGTCATATGATGTGATTGGGGCTTTGTAGAAAACGAAGCGTTTGAGAGAGGCGGGGCATATAGGACCTACAATAATGTACAGTATTTGAAAAATAATGTGTTTTTTGAACATTAAAGCATGTCAACATATTCTGTTACACCAAATACACAAAATAATGATCTTTAAAAAAGCATCATATGACCCCTTTAAAGATTAATTGAAGGCACATTTCACTCAAGAATGAAAATTCTCAAGTTGTTCAAAACCTGTTTGAGTTTCTTTCTTCTGATGAACACAAAAAGTTGGTAGCCATAGTAATTTTTTTCATACAATGGAAGTCAATGGCTACCAGCAGCTGTTTGTTTACCAACATTCTTCGGAATATCTTCTTTTGTGTTCAAAAGTACAAAGAAACTCGTGCAGGTTTTGAACAAGGGTGTGTAAATGATGGCAGAATTTACATTTTTCCTAACTATCTGTTTAATTATATAATATGCTGATTAAATAATCAAATGAAATGCAAATAATTACATACATCAATATTTGATGAAAAAAGCTTGCCAATAATGCAATATTGGGGCAGTAACTCACTGAATAGACATTTCAAAAAGTAGCTTAATAATTGTTTGTACTAAATTAACAAGGTAAATTGACCCTGATAGTAACATTTTCACAGAATTTCCCAAAATAATTTTAATGTCACACATCCGCTCCTGGAATGCATAGTAATATACTTGGCTCTATGGTGCAGCTAATGCTGAACAACTGGCTTAATGTATTTTTTTCATGGTAAAGTGAGTTTTGTTAATTGCCAAGGAGATGTGTTCTGGGAAAGTCGCTTTCCAAATCATATGTTTATTTTGTGAATAAATCTGGCTTGATAAGCTCTGCTGCTTGGCTGAGAGCAGACGCTCTCTCTCTCTCTGATCTTTATTGCCTTCTGTTTCTGATTCTAATTTAATTTGAATGTGAATGGCATCTTCGTCAGTGTTGACTCTGTATTAAATCTTTTTTTTTCATCCCGCTAAAATATGGTTTTCGAATGGTGGTCGAGTGATGCCAAAGACTTCACAACAACACTTGCTGAGGGTGACCAGGCAACTGCTTGTGTCTTCACAGACCACAATAGACAGACACAATGACAGAAGAGCAGCACTGAAAAACCCTTGCCCCTGGGGGAAAAAAGCATTTCCATTTACAATAACCTGAGTGATAATGTAAGAACAAACATTTATTCAGTTCTTCTGACGGCCACATTTGAAATATTCTGCAGTGGGCACTTGCTCCACAGTGCTTCATTTGCTCCACAGTGGCAAGTCCGAATGCCAAGCAGGCCACTGGGGACTCTGTCTTAGTACAGAGAGGCTTAAAGGTTTAAAGACACCTCCATACCTCTGAGTACCACTGTTATGCTTTTAAGCTAAGATACCAAAGACTTCATGACCCTGAATTTTTTTGCACCCTTTTTTCGACTCATTGTGTAAAATGCAGATATTAAGCGGTGATTGAAGTGGCAAGAAAAAGCAGTTGCAAGGAAATACATAAATTACTTAAAGGGAGTGGTGGACAGTATTATATTAGTATTATTTCTGTACTATTACAGATTTATTAATACTGTCCTGAAAAGTGAAGCTGCGGGCTCTTTGATCGCCCCCTGGTGGCTTGCTGCAATACAGGTCATAAACCCCGCCCTCTCCATGTAAACGAATGGAACTTGAGTAAAAAATTATGGTTGATTGGGTCTGCGGGAGTTTGGGTGGGAGTTTGATACTGTGGCTCCACCTCATGACACTACTGCGCAGACTCTGGCTCCAAACGAATCTCTACTGTGCAGACTCGGGCTCCAAATGACATCATTTACTCAAGATGGCAGCGGCCATACTGAGATGCTTTGGCTTCACTTTTCTATAGTGGAAGGAATAGGAGACGCGTCGTCCATCTTTTTTTTACAGTCTATGGCTTTAACTTATTTCAGTTTGCTATCACTAAAGTAGCATTTCAAATTTTAAGTATCATCTAATCATAATGTTATCTAATACTTATTTTTATTTTTATTTCAGTTTAATTTCAATGGACAACAAATGATTTTAGTTAATGATAAAGGTGGACAGAAGCATTTTTACATCACTACTCTGCTTTTTTCAAGTATCTGTATTTTTTATTTTTATTTGGGGAAAATGTTACTTTCATTTCACTACATTCCAAAGTCTAATATCATACTTTTACTCCACTACATCACATAAAAACATATTGTTGCTCGGTATGTATCCTAAAAAAAAATCACGCCAGCCTCTCTGAGACGCTGTCCAATTCATGAACAAGCTGATTATTTCCAATGAACCTGTTGATTTGGTTAACAGATTGCAGATTGCACTATTCATTGGCGAATCAGATTGGACTTTGAATGTGTGTGCAATTTATGGAGTGAAACGTATAAATTACTGTTAATGAACTAAATCTGCTGTAAAAGGTTGAGCTGTTTAGGCCCACTGAAATGTGGACATCTGAACGGTGTTCACTCTCAGAAAAGAAAGTACAAAGCCGTCACTGGGGAGGTCCCAGTGCTAGCTTTGTACCTTCTTGCCTGGATCAAGAGTAGCTACTAACTACAGTACAACACCAATCCTCCAGCTGATCGCATGTTAACAGCATGACCTGATTAAGTGGCTCTTTTTCTACTTTTAAAAACAATGCACATGAATTCCAACAGTGCTCTCAATAATGGGGGAAAACCCTTATCGCTAGCTAAAAAAAGCATCTAGTGGTAATCACATGCTCCAGTAAGCCACTGGCTGTGGTGGAAGCCCTCCCTGCTGTCTAAATATAAATCTGAGCATTATCCTTGCTAGCCCACTCCTCCGTCCCACTGATTGGATGAGCGATTTCGCTTTTCGCCATCCCTGTGTGAACAAAGGCTTAGCACGGCTGGTTAAATTGCTTCTTTTGAGGGAAGATAAAAGTCCATACATTATTAATCCCCCCATATTACTTCTGCTACACCAAAGGACAGCTAATGAATCTTGTAGATGTGTAGCGTCAGTGTCTCTGTCTAACAGCCATCCTGTGTTTCACAGAGAAATTCACCTACAAATTCACTCAAACAAGTGTTTTGGACGCTGTATGCTGACATAAATACAGTAATGTCAAAATAATACAATTAATTTGGATTTAGAAGGTGGGCTGAAAATATATTGCATTATTTAAAAAAGTATGTCTTTAAAAGTAAATTTTCAATAAATTATATATTTCTTCATTTGTAAGAAAATGTACATAAAGTTATATTTTAAAAAACATCAATTTAATATACTATACATACTGCATTTAAAAGATGCTATAATAAAATAGCAAGTTCTGAGTGCATTTACTATTTATATCCAATAATCTGACTAACTTTGGCAAGCAGCATCCAGCTGGAACATTTGGAACACATAAAAGAGCATAAAGATACATGAACATGACTAGTGTCCCTCATTCAATAACACTTCTGTAACCTTCACATTAGATTAGATTCACAAAGTCTAAATGCGGTAAAATGTGGAATAAAACTGATGCAGGGTGCAAAGAAAAGCTTATATTTTGCATGCTACTCTTATTTAATACAACAATTTTCATTTAAAAAAAAAAAAACTATATTACGAGCTTTATAAGCTGTTTCTGCTACTGGGCAAACAAGAACAACTGTCCTTTTGTACAGAGAGGTTCATGTGGTCAGTGTCAAATTTGCATAGTGACATAGAGACCTTGTTTTAAATTTTATTTTTTTCAAATTCTTAAACTAAAAACCTTATTATAATAAACTTTAAAACCTAGACCTTTTGTTCTCACTGTATAAAACCGTTTATTGAACAATAATTATTAGAAAATGTATGATTTATGTGTCATTGTGAAATAACTGTATGAAAGTCTTTTTTAATAATAAAAAAAAAGTGCAACCACTTACCTCCTCGTTGAGGATTTCCTGACATTGGGAGTAGTTTCCCTTCTTCGCCCAGGTGCCATTGGCAAGACATTCTCTGTACACGTTATCTGAAGAAACACACACACACACACACACACACACTGGTTATTGACTGATCCCCTTATTTAATTTCTGAGTCAGATAAATAGTTTATATCATGTTTATTCTGAACATCTGTGGACAGATATGCCACTTCTTCATGCATGGTATGTAATCCATTACATAATTCAAAAGTTATGCAATATGACCCAAAACACTAGGAATATTAATAGGGCAACAGTCAATATTTGACCTCACGGTGCATGTAGGTTTGACCTTGGCATGGATATCTAGTTAACTATATTGACTATATGTTAAAATCTAGTCTCACATTAAACTGATTTATGACTGCAAACCCCCCATGCTGTGCAGTGAAGAGACGAGTGTAACCTAAAACTGATAGAACAGAAAACTTCAAACATCTTTTACTCAATTTTGGTTTACAAACATCTCCTGAAACTTATGTGGTAAAATCCGTCCTGGGTGCAGAATTGTATGAATAAAAAAGCGATTTCAGGTTTCATTTCTCATTTCCATTTCAGTGGTTTCCAATTTCATTGTGGGACATTTCCTCTACAAGGCTTATATTGTGCTTTGAACAGCCATTGTTAGATCTGGTTGAAAGTTTTCTTCTTCAAAATTCCATAAAATAGGTTGAAATCCAACAACATGAGAATCTGGGGCAAAGTTATTTTCACTGAGCACTCAGAACTCTGCTGACAGAAATGCTGAAATACAGTAGAGCCATAAGCATTTTATCCAGCGACACTTATATTACTCTCTTGCAGGAACAATCCGAGTGTCTTCCTCTATAGTATTAAGGTTGGAAACGGGGTTAGTATTGCATTATGCTTCCGGGAGCTGTCCTGTTAACGACTAACAGATACCTCAACCAGACTAACTTAATCACTAATCTGAAACCTACACATTAATAACTGTCTGTTACCACTTCAGCCATTGGAGCAGCTAATTTCAGGTTTGATTTTCTTAATAAGCATTTTTATCTAAAAACAACAACAACAACAACAAAAAAACATTAATTTATTTGAAAAAGTATTAAAAAGTATTATGACTTGTTCATCACAGTATATATCTTGAAATAAATTTAACTTTGTTTATAAATCTGCACATTTCTTTTGAAGTCAGTAATATATATATATATATATATATATACACATATATATATTTTTAATAAATGAGTATTTTTATTTAGCAAAGACCATTAAATTGATCAGAAGTGACAGTAAAAACATTTATAATATTGAAAAATATTTCTATTTCAAATGTATGCTTTTATTATCATAGTTTTCACAAAAATATTAAGCAATGTTTTCAATGTTCAAATCAACTGAAATGTTTGTTGAGGATCAAATCAGAATAGAATCATTTCTAACAGAGCAAACAAATAAATAAAAATGTAAAAAAATAAATAAATCAAAACGGTACCAAAAGTATAGCTTATAATGGTACAACAATAGTTTCAAAAGTTTCCTAAATACTGTCAACCTTTGACCATATTACGGCTGCCAAACAATTTTTAGGTGAAAAATGCTAAATAATAATATCAAACAACAATAACAACTCTATTCTTAATCTGTATGCTTTACCAATGCCTTAACAAATAAACAATGATTAAGGCATGCTTAACTGGCTTAATTAAACCTGGCCTTGTTCCTACAGAATATCACTACAACTAAATTATGAATGGAATACTAATTTTCCATTCAACTGGGTTTATTGATTGTGTTAAGCACAAATAGTTTTTCTCACTTTGCCAGCATTCTGTGTGTGTGTGTGTGTGTGTGTGTGTGTGTGTGTATATATATAATATTTTTATTCAGTAAGAATGACTTAAACTGATTAAAAATGATATTAAAGACATTTATAATGTTACAAAAGATTTATATTTCTAATTTCTATGTTTCTTGAGCATCAAATCAGCATATTACAATGATTTCTTAAGAAATGGCTGCTGCAAATTCAGCTTTGCATCACAGGAATAGATTACATTTTAAAATATAAGAGAAAATTTAAATTAATAATCTATTTAATAATCTAAATAATAATATATTTTAAATTGTAATAATATTTTACAATATTACTGTTTTAACTGCAATTTTGATGAAATAAATGTAGCTTGGTATAATGCAGCATATTTATTTGAATTATTTCAGCATTTTTATTTCAATATTTCAAAAAACAAACAAACAACAACAACAAAATATCTAATCTTCCTCAATCAAAATGTTTTCTTAAAGGACGCATATATATTTTGCTGAATAACAAGACAATATATTTGAACATTTAGGCTTTACAGCTTTCCTTGGAATACTGTAACGATGCATCTAAATATTCCTTTCCTTTGAACTGACAGTACACAAAGGTTGCTCGTTAACTTTTAGCTAATATGAGAGTCCTCCACTGGTTGAAAAACCAAATGTAAAAAAAAAAAAAGTTTTGTCACAGATTCTTCTGTACTATATTTTAGTTTCCATGGGAACTGGTGCAACTGTTGCAACTTTGCCAATTTGTGCATGTATGTAGAGCAAAGATTCAACTCGAGGTGATGCTACAAGATGATTAGAGCCCTGATTGCCCTACGGGCCCGACATCAGCGCCCATCATAACAAGACGCAATTACTGGAGTGATATCAGCTAGAGCTTACCATCCATCATAGAGCTGTGACAGTAGAGAACAATGGTATTGAAAGGACATGGCTGTTTTTCTTAATCCATGCAAGCTAGAGGCACACTATACATCGAGGGAATGATAAACATACAGCAATAGTTGCACCAAAATGCCTTTTTTTTTTCATTACACAATGTCAGAAGTTTGGTGAGAAGCAGAAGTCAGGAAGAAGTTGAGAGGAATCTATCTGTCAGTCCATCCATCCATTCATCCATCACGTGTGAACTGACTATCTATCTTATTAACATATTAATTAATCCAACTTTAGAAATATAGGTATGTAGTACTATCAAGGTTTCAACATGATGAGGTAATTATGATTTTTTTTTGAAGATGGTGTGGGTTGTTATGTCATATTTTGCACTAAAAGGCCATGCATTATTATTTTTTATGTGTTGTTTTCTCATGATCCCCAAAAAAAAAAAAAAAAATGCGCTCACCATTTCTCTGGTCAGCCCCAAACTACTTAGTCAACATCTGCCAAACATCATCCTATAGCCATTCAGACGTCTCTGTCTCTCAAGCTGACTGGCAATGAAACTGACCACATGATGATACAATTATAGCCTCCTTCTCAAGTGTCCGACAAAGATATAAAAATGCTTTATCACTGAAAGACGTTGATCTGTTTCAGCCTGATTGAGTCCCTGGTCAAATTAGAAATGTTTTTGTTCCCGTCACACCAAGTAAAGAGCAATGGAAAAGTTGGAATCACCACCAGATACTAATATTTTCCTTTTAGATTTTCCTTGTAGAGTTCATTCTCTAACGGTTTTGTCTCCTGGGAAATACTTTAATACTAACATAGCCAAGTAGTAAACAAACAGTCCAAGAAATAACAGTAATTAGGACGCTTCCGACACAACTCAAAACTTTAAATCGACTGGTAAAAATAGCTGAAGAGCCCAGAGAGAGCCTTGAAACAGTGACTCAAACTCACTTGCATTTAAAAACAAAAATTGTGAACTCAACCCAAACACTTACTGCAGGGAAGGAAACACTCTTTCCATTACTCTCTCTTACTAACTTCCTCTCGTCTTTGCCTTTTGCTCATGGCAATATTGATTGAGCATCTGAAGGTGAATGGCAGCTCCATAGATCACACCGGCAAACAGGGCACACAGGAACTGCTATACGGTGAGTCATCTGCCTCCTGTAAACCTCCACATCCAGCCGGTTTGATCAACCGCACAATTGCCTGAAGCAGATCTGATGGTGTGACGAGACAAATAGAAGGTTGTCAGTGCTTTCGCAGCCAGCATAGCCATTTCTGTGGGGATGAGTAGTGAACAATGCAGGAAAACAATGCAGCATTGTGACAGAGTGCTGAAGTATTTGTTAAACAACTGCTGTGTGATTAGGAGGAAGAGTAAGATGAAGAGTAGGGAGGAGTGGAAATTCCCTTATCCTGCTTTTGGAAGTGGCATGCCGTCTTTTCTGACATGCAGCACTTAAAAAACAAAACAAACAAAAAAAAACACACAAGGTTTTTTTGAGTATGAAAAATTATATTAAAGGCACAATATGTAACTTCATTCTACTATGTTAATAAATCATTAGCTCATCCATGAACATGATTTCTGCCCGAGTCCCGTCGGATTGCATCAGCTGTGGGGATGAAGACCACAACTCCCATGATTCCTCATGAGTCACGGCATCATCAAACTACGCCTTTGTCTCTTTGTTTGTTTTGAATACGCGCCCTCTAGCGGCGAAAATTACATATTGTGCCTTTAAACAATATAATTTTATTAAATACAGTAAGATTTTTTTTTCTTTTTTTTTCTTTTATTCAGCAAAGATGCATCAAATTTATCAAAAGTAGGAGTAAAGATATTTATGTTACAAAAGATACCGAATTTTGATGTTAATAAATGCTGTTCAAACCACAGGAACCAATTACATTACATAATATATTAAATTATAAAATTGTTATTATTTTTTTTTAACTGAAGTAATTGAACACAGCCCAAGTCTCATGCAACCAAAAAAAAATAAAAAATCAAGAACTTTTTTTTTTTACAGCAAAGCACAAGCTGTAAAAAAGTGATAAAAAACTAAATAAAAAATGATAGTACAGTATGAACCAAAATGGCACTATACTGTATGTTGACATGCTGCCCACAAGGCTATTGGCACCAATGTAAAAAAATAAAATAATAATAATAATTTAAACAATGAATGAATGAATGCATGCATGCATTTGGATCATTACTTAGGGGTTCAATATAGCATGGAGCCAGTAATGGTCACAGTTCCAAAAGCCTACTGTGAAACAATGTAGAAACGATGACAAAAAATGCACACCGCTACATACAGAATGTTGTCACAGCTCCGTTT